AAATATCTTGGACTCACCAGTTGATAATTTCTTTTGCTGAAATGGAGAGTAAATGAACAGTTGTGGTTGTCCCGATTGCGGATGCAGTACTGTTGGGGCCAAATGCGGCGGTAAGGGACATAAAATTGGGTCACTAAAAAAAGAGGAACTCAGAATGATTGCAGATGGAGAATTAATAGGGAAAAGCTCACCTGACCTCAGGAAATCTTGTCAATTGAATGGAAGGGAGAATTATATTACCAACAGGAACCGAAATGCGTTGGTTAAGCTGAGGCGGACTACCTTTAATACGCACAAGGTTTTGTAGATCGTCAAAGAGACGATTGGCCAATATTGGATCCATATCATCATAGTACACCTACGATACATAGAATGGTGATAAGAAACTCAACATTACTATGTGAAATTACCTGAATTAGATGGCAAAGATGTCTAATCGCCGCTTCATGCAGCTCCGCTCGGGATGCAGCGGTGTAAACTTCGTGCAAAGCTTTGATTTGTAATTGAACCGGCCCTTTCAACATGTCATCTTGAGGAACTTCGCGCACGTTTTCCTTGATGCCATAACCAGGGAGAGTTCTAAGATTATTGATATTAATTTTAAAAAACTCTATCAAAAGTAGAACAAAACGATGGAGGTGGAATAGAAAAGAAAAAGTGGAGGAGAAAGCTTGATTTCCCATGATAATCGTGAGAGCTACACTTTCAAAAAGATCTATAAAAACTTAGTCGCTCTAGCAAGAACTTGAAAAGTTCGAATCACAGTGCAGATAAATAAGTCACTTACCTGTAAAGAGTTGGGTAAACAACTCGATAATCCTGTGGAGTTCTCTGTTCACCTTCAGCAATTTGTAAACGAAACAAAACACCTAGACGAGCAAAGAATGAACATTTGCGTCTAAATCCAACCTGAAACAGACTTAGCATATGAAGAAAGGAGACCAAGATAACCTCAGATTAGATAAAAGAACTCGCCTCTCTATACAGTGCAGTCGAATTTGCACATATAGCAGCCTTAGTGTGATTGTCGAATCTTGTAAAACTGTCATCTAGGTATTTGCCAATGTGATCACGATGGAAAGCCTGAAAGGCGCTTGGTACGCGGAAAGTTCCAAACACAAAAGAAAGCTAGATACAAATGGAATACGTGGAAAAAAAAGGGAATTAACAGCGGGAGTATGACACTTACCTCCATCTCAACATACATTCGCTGATATCGGAACAACGACACAGCTTTCATCATACAGTCATATTCAATCATCGCAGCAAATGAAAACTTAGCATAATTCTCCAGTGCCAATTCAAACTTCTCCATTATTGCAGATGGCTCAATTTTTTCTTTTGACCTAAAGTTTATTCACTTTATAAGGGCAATTTAACGTTATATATGATAAAAAGTATTCAAAAGTCAAAAGGGAAAAATATTGACGGGAAAAAAGTTGACGATGGTATAATTTTTAAAAACAGCATGCTGTAGGTTCAACCTCGATTAGTTGAAACTCACTTTTCTCCACGAAGTACAGCCCATGGCATGCGTGAGCGACGATTTTCACCCTCGCTGCCGTCATCAGCAACAGGCACCACTCTAGCATTTTCGTCAGAACGATGCCGTTGATGCCCCAATGATACTCTAAATGAATGAAGAGTTAGTTAAAATACCTCTAACAACAAGCTTACCCTAACGTATGCTGAAATGCCGTAGCGGCGCTTATGGCTGCTCCCAGTGAAAGATGTCCAGTATTGTCGATATCCCTCATCTGTGTTGGTGTCATACTCGCAACTCGATACATGGTAGCACTTGACGCTATGCCATCGTACAAAAGAGCCATTGCGGCGCAAGCCCAACCTTCGCAGGCACCTAAGGAAAGCGTGCCCATAGAAGGGTGATCGGAACTAAGGCAGTTAAAGTTAAGGTGAATCAAACATTAAGTGCGATAAGACACAAACCAGCAAACCATAGCATGTCATTGCAAGATTTGAGCATATCCATAGAGGCTGCATACGAGTCAAGGGCCAGCTGCGGTAGTCCCGTAAGCATAGCATAGTCGGCGTTCTGCTTTCGAGAACGACCGATGCACTTGCGTCTAAAAAATTTCGTCATATGCGGATTACTGAACAAATAGTAGACCCGATTAAGAGAAAACATAAAATCTTACTTGTAAGCCTTTGAGGTTTTGTTTTCCACTCCAAATCGGAACTTTTCTTCCTCGGGAAGTATAGGGCAAGGTGGACACTCCTAAAAATGACAATAACAGGCCGTTCAGATAAACGTAACGTATAAACTTCAAAAAGACATACTAGTTTTTCAAACGACTGATCCAAGCGCTTGCTTTCGAGAACGAAGTAAATTGCTCGCATAAACTCTCTAACACCTGTTTCCAGTTCATCAGATTCCTCTAGTCGATGAAATAGAAATGTTTCTCGAGATGAAAAATGTGCGGATACGTCTTGCTGAAAGAAGAAAATCACTGATGAGTAGTGTGTGGTGTAAATAAATAAGTTGTTATACCTCATCATAGCCAAGAAGAATACAACGACTATCAACAAGGGTGCTATCATAATCTCGCTGAAAATAAGAATATCACTACATTCGTTAAGATGTTACTAGCCAAGCGAATTGAAAAAAGACTAATTGCAGTGCTAAAAATTTCACCTTGACTTTTTCGTAATTGCTCTTCACTTCATCCATAGTTGTTCCACCACTTAAAGAAGATCGCCGCCTGATAGTAATTTGCCCCAAACCGACATCATCAGATGTCGACGAGGTCTTGATGTTGAGAGACTTCAATTTTAGATGATATCAACATATTCAAATGCAAACTGCAGTACCGATTTTCTCGAAGGCGGCGCTGATGTTGATGGCTGTGCGCAAGCTACACCAATAAGGCCTAATACTCTACGATGAGCCTGAAACTATGAAATAAGCCGGAAACATCCCAGACGAATCGGTGCACAAACCTGCAATTCCCCGAATCGAACAAGCTCGCCGTTGACGCTGGTGACAAAGTTTGCATGAAAGATGCGTTTTGGATTGTCGCTGACTGGAAAAAACCACTCAAAGATAACTAACAGCGGTTCTAAAAAATTAGCCTTCAATTTGCTTGAAAAATTCTGACAATTTCAACATTCTCACAAGCGACGCACCTATTGCGTTCGCAGCAATTAATCAATACGCATGGGATAACGTAGAGACGCGCGCATGCAGTGGCGCGATCCACATGCCGGCTGCTACGCGTAGAGTGTGCATAAGTAAGAAATCAAAATATATCGCATATCTATAAGGTGTGCGTGACTATACAAACTGCATGCAGCTCTTCAATCATTTTATTTGGTGATTGGATATCCAAATTATTTACATTCTGCTGGGGTACTAATT